CGCGGGGGGCCTCCCGGGGGGCGGCGGGGGGGGGGGGGGGGGGGGGGCAGCCAAGGAGCCAGACATGGACGTATGCACATCTGTATCCAGCGGTGCATTTCCGCTCCCCGCAGCCCTCGCACCCCGCACCTTCGGGCAGATGCAGCTGGGGAGCGGGTGGGATTCCCAGACGCACACAACATCCTACAAAGTACACACGGAGAGTAAGGTTTTCTGCCGGTAGCACCGAGCTGAGTGCCAGCCCCTTGCCGGGACCTGTCCGTTTATCGATAAGGCTTTGCACTGCAGGAGAGCCCGCCGGGGCGGGCTGGCCTGGGGCTCGGGCTCGGAGGCAAGTCGGGAACGGTTCTGGGTCTGAATGGGGAGAGCGATGCTGGTAGAAATTCAAGGAGCCTCGTAGCTACTTAAACGTGAACCGATTGGTAATGTAGCTCTGGCTGGGCTGTCCTCTCTGCCCAATATCTGCAAAATAAGGTCATGTCTGCATATGCATCTTAACCCACTTTCAGAGTCCAAAAAGTGCCCTGAAGTAGCTTGGGTGAGATTCTGCTCCTTTAGCATGTTTATTATAACTGGGTAGACTAGGCACATCTAACAATGTTTTGATTCATCTGAATTCTTTCGTCGCTGCACAAGTCTAATACGTTTGGAAACTCCACCCAGTTCTTGAAGTCTGCCTCTCCGGCAGTGCTGGGCTGGCATCCTCTGCATTGCGTTACGCAGGCAAAATACCATCAGTTACAGCCCTGAATAGAAGCATCATCTATTGTTCTTATGAAAATCAGATATGAGCAGTAAATGTACATAAACACCGTGCTCTAACAGTATCCCAGGCAGTCATGCAGTCTTTTTACATCTTTTAAATTTGCTTTTGTAAGTTTTCATGCTTCTGCTGATTCTTTTTGGAGTGCCAGTCTTTGTAGTGACAGGAGAGAGGGTGCCACCTCTGTAGACTGGGGAAGGGGCGATATTACAGCAACCACAGCTGATGCCAGGAAGGTCAGTCTTGGCAGCTCCTCACCTGCAAAAGGTGCATGATAAGACAAAGTCTGGGAGATGTTTGCTGCTGTTATTTGTAAGTCCTTAACTTGTTGCTTGTGAGAAGCAGGCAGGGAAGATGAACAGTCACTGGCACTCCTTTTCTTGGAGATGGTGGGAAAAAGTGCTTACAAGTAGTGCTGCATCCCAAGCACCCCAGCCTCTGATGGTAAAGCTACTCATAGTACACATTTCTCCAGTCTCTGGCACTGAGCCCAACTGGCACTCTACCATACCTGTCAATACTAATCAGCTCTCTTGGTCTCCGAAACAAGGTGGCCACATCCAAACTTCCTATTGGGTATGGCCCATGCCAACCCCCAAACCACACTGTGAATTGTTCAAGACAGCACTTGCTGGCCAGGGCAAAACCATGCCCAGGTCAGCTTGAGGGTAGAAACAATCAGCTTCCAGTCCCAAGAACATTTGCTGGCACTGTTTAGTTCATTAGCATGGATGTAGCCCAAAAGTCCATTAGTGAAAGTGCTTGCAAATGTCACAGATTTTGCCCAGTTGTGCCACAGTATTGTGGACTCTCATCTTCCCTTTTTTCTCCTAAGGGCTTGTTATTTAAAGATACTTTTGTATATGTATTTGATCTCCTCTTCTACAAAAATACCAATAAAGGAATCCTACAGCAGGAAATAAGAGAATAAATGGATTATTAATATTAGGATTTCATCTGTCCTGAATAGATTTATCACGGATAAGAAATGGATAAACAGAAATTAAATGTTAGATGCCATTCCATAACAACATGCAAGCTCCATTTCTTACAGTTATATCCATGTACTCAGAGACAGGTTAAATTAATGGAGGACCATCCTACTACTTGGAGATCTCTGAAGCCCTGAGTATTCTGAACATAATCCCTTCATTCCCTTCCTAATCCAACATGGAGTTTCCTCTGCTGGAGTTATACCACCCTTTGATTCCCTCTGCCTTGTCAGAAGACACTTAAAGCCCCTTTTCATAATTTCATTTCCAAATGGGATATACTACACTGTAGGTACTTGTAGAGGGTTTTCATGGTTAAACACACCATTTAGGAATCAAATGTGGGACATAAGGATTCAGTAAGTTCCCAGTTAGCAGAAAACTTAAACACGTAATAGCCCACTTCAGACATAATTTTATGAGTCACATCTTACCAGCATCTAAACAAGGTCTTGATTTTCAAAAGTGCTCTCCAGCTGCTAATTTTCATTGTAACATAAGTTGTGATTTCCCCGAAACACCATTTCAACTCCTACATTCTTTTATCATCAAATGTGGTCCTTCTTTGGTGCCCAAACAACACTAAATACGGTACCTGAACAGGGAGTAGTTATACTGTGTGATGGTTCCCATGAGACAGCCAGCCCCAGGAGCTCCCTCTCCCATTCTCCACCCAGCACCTCCCAGCTTTGCGGCCCGCAGCCCTCCCAGCCCCACTCTGCAGCCTGTGCCATGCAGCTCTTTCTGGAGAGAGGTTTATTTCTAACACCGCTCATTTCAGTGACCCTGTTTGCAACACAGCCCCACAAGTGCCTGTCAGCACAGTATGTAGATAGGAAACTGTGGAGTGTGAGCAGATATGAGATGAAATAAGGAAATTTTAAGCCAACTTCAGCCCTGCAGCCAGTGTATGCTATAACTACACCATGTATCTCAAGCCTCCTCTGTACATTCCTCTGCACAGACAATAAAAATGACTCAGGTATAACTGGAAAATAAGCATACCTATAGAGAATTGGGTTAAGCCTATTCATGCTCCCTAAGTGTAAACTATTTGTTCTGTTGGACTTGACTTGTCTGTCTGGTAAGCATAATTTATCACGCAACCTTACCGATTACAGGACTGTTACATTCCCCTGCGCTCTGTTAATCTGCTCATTTCCATTTACGGTTGCCTACACTAGGGTTTCGTTATGCAGTTACATGTCACTGCTTAGTTTGATCTAGGTCAGACTGGTAACTCAAACAAAAACAAGCAGCACTTCAGTTTGTGCTAGAGTGGTTAAATTTAAACTTAGGGGAGCCTAGATTTAAAAAGTTTTTGCATACCCAATGGCTTCTGTTATAGGGCACAAAACATCCTCGGCTAAAAAATACCTGTCCACCCAGAACAGGCCTATTAAACTGCTAGAAGATCTGTGTTTAATTAAGCAAAAAACCTTAGCTGGGATACACATCATTTTCAAGACCATAGAAACAACCATTTGGCAGTGTCTCAGGCCTAAGTAGGTTTTAAATGCCTGGCTCTGACAAACACCTGAGAGACTAATTTGTGCACAAAACTGGAAGCAGGGAACTGCACAGCAACTTACTGACATCACCATGTGAGGGAAATTTGTTTTGGACCTGACTTCTGCATATTAGAAATAATTTTGAAAGAGTATAACCTAGCATGAGAGGATTCAATAATCTTCAACTGCTCCAAGCCAGTGCAGTAGATACTCTGGAGACACAATTTGGGAGGTAAAACAGATTATCGTGTTTAGCACGCCAGCGAAGATAGCTGAAAAATCCATCTCTGTTCAATTTTCACATTTTGGAGTTAAGCAAGCATTACCAGACTCAAGTTTTATACCCATCTGTGACGTGTGACCATAATGAAAATTCCACTGTTACCACCATCACTGCTCCTCAGGAACCTTATTTTGCTGGATTTTTGCTAATGGTTCCTTAATGAGTCCAGAAAGCAACTTCTGCCTTGGTAAATAAGAAGGATTGCAGCACCTAGCAAGCACTACTAATTGTATGAAGATTGGCTGAAAATAAACGAATGCACAGCAAGGTCTGTTTTTCTCTAATATCACATGTAGAAAATAGTACTGTTTGGTAAATGTAAAAACCTAATCACTACAGTACTTAAAATACTGGAGAAAATCTCAACAAAAATTATGACAGCAAGGACTCGAATGGTCAATGCCTTGTCCTGCTTTTAGCATTAGACGATGAACTTGTCTGGTCAGACATTCAGCTGGATTCAGCAGGCATTCAACCAGATTGCGGTGCAAACAAAGTGTGTTTCCATGAAATGAGGCAAATTCAGGGAAATCTGAAGAGCTATGTTATGTGGAAATTTGAACTAGAAGATCACTATAGTCTCTTCCAGCACAATATTCTGTCTTTTCAAAAGCTCAGCCAGTTGCCTTATGCATCACTGAACTCAGGGCCTGCAACAAAGCTCATTTAGGGGATGGATAAATCTTTTAATTAAAGCCTATGCTTTGGATGAGGTCCTAGCAGAAACTATGATTCAGCAGCTCATGGAACTAGGATGGAAGCAAAAGTCTGGTTTATCACTCATAGTGAGTGGACGAGAATTATAGTGAATACTAAAAATAGGTGGGTGGAAGATCATTTCATGGTAGTAGGAGGGCACATTCCTTGCTTGGATGTAAGCCTGAAGAATTTACATTTGCTGGAAAGTACTGACAGAAGCATAGGATATAAAGCTCTCCCAGAAGTGCTCAGTAATAACACT